GGCCTATGACGATATTTTATCCGTGTCCTCAAAAAAAGTTTATCTGAGGATCAGAGGAAAAAGTCAGCCACTATATTAAACATAGAAGTCAGGCAATGGTAGTACATGCCTTTAATCCTATCACTCAGGAGGCAGAGATCTGTCTGGATCTCTGTGAGTTCAAGGCCACACTGGGAATAGAGCCAGGCATGGTGGCACAAGCCTTAATTCCCAGCACTAACCATAAAGGTCTGGAGGTGACAGAGATGTGACGGAGCTGGGCTGGGGGAGGAAGTAATATAGCTGGGCAGAGAGGAAATGAGTTGGCAGAACAGAAAGGCATATGGGTGTGGGTATACAGGAAGTAGGTCTCTTCGGAAGTGGAGGGTAGGTGAGGTGAGGTAGGCTTGTGGCTTGTCCTATTTCTCTGATCTCTCAGCTTTAACCCCAATTTTCTGGCTCCGTGTTTTTTTATTAAAAGACCATTTAACAATTTGTCTACACAGGCCTTTAATCTTAACACTCTGCAGTAGAAGCAAACTGATCTTTACGCTTTTTAGGCTAGCCTGGTCTGCATAATGAGTTCCTGAGCAGCCAAATTCATAGAGTAAGACCCTGACAAAGAAAATTAAACGATAAAGGTGAGATGTAAAAATTCCTTTTCTTCATTTGTCTTACTTAATTTTTACTAATGATGCAGAATTGAGAGAAAAATAAATCTGCAGACTCATAAGTTAACTGGGCAGTAAAATAAGTGTAATTCAGTCATCAGAATATTTAGAGGCTCTATAGAAAGGATGGAGTGATTAAGTACAAATATTTTGTCCTGTAGGGTTTAGTTGACCAAAATGTATTTACATTGATGGGCCTTTTCTACAGAATGATTATTTAAGAGACTGCAGATTTTTCGTGCATTGGTTTTGTCAAAGTTTCTTTTTACAAAAATGAAAACCATAGTATGTTTTCTACAGCTGGCCTGATGTATGATTGTCCCCCAAACTGACAGGTTTTCTTTGTTTTTTCTCAGTTTCATAGCAAGCCTGACCAGTGCCCTAGAAATGAGTCCTCAACTTCCAAGAAGTTGGTCAGAGTTGAGGTCTGACTCAGTAGGTGGCTGGTTCCAGCAAAGGTTCAAGGTACCACACTTATCTTTGCAGCTGGGATGGTGGGAGCTCACTTCACTCTGCAGGCTTCCAGGGGGCCACAGAGGGCTTGGGGACAGGGTTGGCTTACCAGTCCAGACACTTACCCTAGCAATGTTCTGAAGGAGTTCTATTTTGGTCAATGGTTGAACTACCACATAACTAGCTATTTTGCTGAAATTTTTAGTTTTGGTGAATTTTTGGTTTCCTTGTTTTCACTTTTCTTTTTAAAAAATTCTGAATTTGAGCCATTTAGACATGTGTGGACACACACACCACAGCACATGTGTGAAGGTCGGGGGACAAGTTGGAGAAGTGGGTTCTCTCTTGGGTTGACCTCAGGCCCTCAGACTTGGTTGCAAGTATCTTTACTCGCTCAGCCAACCAGCTGGCCCCTGCCAGAGCACTCCCTTCTAACCCACCCATTTCAGGATATTGTTGTAGTTGCTCTGTTGTCATTTTGGGGGTAGAAAATACTGGGTACTGAGTCTAGAGTTCTCCCATGCTTGACAAGCGTCTGTCCACTGAGGTTTAAACAAAAAGTTATTTTGAGGCAAGGTCTGATTAAGTTGCCCAAGTTTTTTTGTTTTTGTTTTTTTTTTTCAACTTAGCCTATAGTTATACCAGACCTTAAACTTGTGATTCTCCTTCCTCAACATTCCATGTGGTGGGATTCCAGGACTGCACTACCACCCTCACCACTATATTCACATGGGAAGCCAACATTTGAATCTGTCTTCTTTTAAAAGTAATATAACCAACCATATAACAAGGATGGTTTTAAAAACCAACTTTTGGTGTCAATCCTTTCTTATTCCCTATTTTGTCGTTTTCATCTTCAGTCTCCTCTAGTCTTTCTTCCCATGCATTAATCTCTTTGTTAACATTTTCATATATGGTTTTGTTTATTTAGGTTGGATATGTGCCTTTTGGGAACCTGGCCAACCCAAGGCTTTCTCAGATACCTTCATGAAGCTCCAAGGGAACAGTAGTTCTGTGTCTTTGTCCAAGGGCTGACTTGACAAGGTCTGGTCCAGTGCTTGAGTGAGCATCTTGAAAGAGTCAAGGGAACCAGGCTTTTCAGCTGAGAGGCTATGGTTATCATTTTCATGCCCATTGTGAACTCAGTTTGGAGTATCCTGTGTTCCTGTTGGCGGTATGGCTTAATTAGCTTTCTGCTGACTGTCCCATTCTCTCCCTACACATTGTGTATCAAAGCTGTACTTCTTTTTTTTTTTTTTTTTTTTTTTTTTTTTTTTTTTTTTTTTTTTTTTTTTGGTTTTTTTTTGGTTTTTTTTCAAGGCAGGGTTTCTCTGGGTAGCTTTGTGCCTTTCCTGGAGCTCGCTTTGGAGACCAGGCTGGCCTCGAACTCACAGAGATCCGCCTGCCTCTGCCTCCCGAGTGCTGGGATTAAAGGCGTGCGCCACCACCGCCCGGCAAAGCTGTACTTCTTAATACACTTTCTTAGCATGAGCCATCAGCTTATGTACCATCTGATACCTCTCTCATCACCTCCTATTCAGTACCTAAATTTTTGGTGTTTTGTGTCACAGATTATGCTGGTTTAAGCTTTTGATATCCTGCCTCCACCTCCTAAATCCTAACATGATGCACCAGTGCTACCACAGAAGGCTGGAAAAGTGTTCATGCTTGGCAAACAATTGCAGCTGAGAGAAGTGTGTGCAATCCTAAGTGAGCTTTTTTGAATTGCTCATGCCTGGTGAATGTCAATCGGGAGGTTTAAGTTTCACCTGAATGGGATGGGCATCATATCAGCTGTGAGGCATGGGAATCACTCCACTACACATAAGTAATAATCTGTGTATGCTAGAAACACTGTGAATGGAAAAAGAAAAAGAAAAAAGAGAAATAAAAATTCAAAGACATAACTGGTTCCAGATTCAGACATTGTTGTACCCCCTTCTCGAAACCCCCAGAGACCACCAAGGAGCTGGTTTCCCATGCAAGCACATAAAGGTTCTTTTATTGCCAGGCAGATGGAGGGAAATGCAGCTTCGAGCCCAGGTGTAGAAAGTTTTTATAGGGAAAAACTGCAAGCTGGGAATTACATGCTTTGACAATTTGGGATTGGGTAGAAGGGATATGGCACAAGGTGATTTTTTTTTTAAACTATTTGTCTAGACTTTGGGTGCAAAACCACATTTGAAACCATTGGGTTAAACTTTTGGCAGGGAACCATAACTTGTAGTGGCATTCCTGCTGAGCTCCTGGCTTGGCTCCTGACAGCAGCACCTAGCCCTAATCCTTCTTTTGTTTAACCACACCTTTTGTGAATCTTGTTTGAGAGTCAAGGATCAGAGAGTCCCCCCAAGGATCAAAGGCCTATGCAAAACTTGGTCCAGGAAACCCGGAAAACCATGGTACCTGATAAATCAAGTAATTTGCACCTGGCATTTGGTCTCTGGGAGCTCCTTTTGGTTTGCTTTGAAGGTACGGAGCTTAACTATCTAAAATGTAAAATGGAGTAAATAAATATGCCCTAGGCAAAGGGTTAGTGCTTCAGTCCTTCCAGGCTGGACCCCACCCCCTGCAGCCATGAAAGGCTAGATTCATTCTTAAGATGCCTCTGGGTCTTCATTTCACAGACCCACATAAACCTACACACTCGTGTAGCGACCACACAGCTACAACAACTTGCTGAGCAGGACTATTGAGGCTGCTCAGCAGGATTATCTAGGTATCTTTAAGGACCATAAACCACAGACAGGATGTCTATAGGGGCATACTGCCCTGTATCTGTTTGAGTTGTTATGGCACATTCCTGAGGTCGTTCCTGGAACTGAGTACAGCAGGTGGTCTAAGATGGTGGCCTTACACTAAGATGAAGTCTGTATTGCCTTTACAGCACCAGACAATGAAAAAAACAAAAAACCTAAAAAAAGGAAAGGACATGAGTGCTCCTAGGTATGGTAGAGGAGAAAGTTTGTTGTTGATAAAAGGGAGATTATATTTTTGCTTGTGAGTCTAGCTTTAACGGCTGAGCCATATAAACTGGGCGGTGGTGGCACACGCCTTTAATCCCAGCACTGGGAAGGCAGAGCCAGGCGGATCTCTGAGTTCAAGGCCAGCCTGGGCTACAGAGTGAGTTCCTGGAAAGGCGCAAAGCTACACAGAGAAACCCTGTCTCGGGAAAACACACACACACACACACACACACACACACACACACACA